ACCTCAACAGAACATTTGATGTGGAAGGCAGAGAATACATCTAAATTATTAAAGACATCAAAAGTACGTGCCAATTTGGGACCCAAGACGGCCCGAATTAAAATTGGCAGTGGAGATGAGAATCAAATTCATTATGGAACTGGATTCAGAGTTGGGTCTTCCTACCTCTTTACAGCCTTCCATGTAGTGGAGGATGTCTTGGGTTTGTAGAATGTGTGAGATCTATAAAAATACTTTATTATTTTGAAATGAAAGTTTTAATAAGGATGTTTGTAATTGCATATACTTTATACTCAAATTAGTTGTTTGGAAAGTATGTCTCACATGTACTGTTAATTTTTATGTTTCCCTCTGTTTTCACCATTATGAAGTCCTCTACTTGAAAATATATACTGTGTTGAAGATGAAGCTAACTTTTAGGAATTCATATGAATATGCATTCATGTATCAAATGAAAAATATAACTAGTACATTCACATATTTGTTCACAATTTTATGATTGATATTGAGTTAGATTGAGTTTTTTTTTTTTTATAGAGAAATGAGAATATGTTAAAACCCACTGATACACTAATATATATATATACTGTAGCGAGAAATCGAGAAAATTAGGGCAAAAGCAAGTGGTAATTCCTTGGCGCAAATAAATTTTAGCACTTTCGCTTCTCATTAAATATATACAGTAAAACTCGGTTATAACGAAGTCACGGGGACCACTGAATTTACTTCGCTATATCCGTAATTCGTTATATCATATAAGAAATACGTTATATTTATATAGCTGGGGATCCAAAACAACTTTGTTATAACCGTGAATTCGCTATATCCATGTTCGTACTAAACGAGTTTTGCTGTATACATAAAATATATAAATGAGATAATTTTTTTCTTTGATCCACGCTGGTATGTTACAACGCGAAATGTAATAACAACGCGAAATGTAATAAACCTGGATTATTACATTTTGCGTTATTACATTTTGCGTCGAGATCAACGCAAAATGTAATAACGCAAAATGTAATAACACGATTTTTAGATTATTACATTTTGCGTTATTACATTTTGCGTCGAGATCAACGCAAAATGTAATAATGAGCTTTTGCGTTGTTACATTTTGCGTTGTTTTATTTTTGCACTGAAGACAACGCAAAATGTAATAAAAAAATATGTAATAAAACAAAATATTATTTTTTTGATTGCGTTTGACAAAAAAGATTATAAAATTCATTCAAAATATGCATATAACCAACATGGGAGACACGCTGTACAAAATATTTAGAACTAAAACAATGAGATCAACGTTAGGGCTTTTACGGACATAAATACTTCAAAATGGATCGTTTTTCTGACTCTGACTTTAGTTATATTGAATACACTGTTCTAAATTATAAAGCCTTCATTTAACTTTGATATATATATTTTTAAAAGTCTTATTAAATTTCTAACCAATAACACAAAATTTATTTAATTACCAAAGATTGACCATAGGTTCATTATTAGCTCTTGATATGCATCTTTGGCATGTGTACATTAGTTAACAAAGTGTATGTGTGTGTCAAGCGAGGAAGGGTAGGGATAGAGTGGAGTGTTTACTTAGTATGTTTATCATTGTATTACTATGGGCATGCAGAAACAATCCATTTTATTATTGGATGCAGAAGGGGGGGTGTTTTTGGATGTCTGCAATGCTGGTGATTTGCATGGAACAGTATGGAATCACAATTGTCAATAAACCCCTTCGGATATATATTTACACCTGTCAGTACTAATAAACAGGTTTTCTTTTAGATTCGTTGCATTTGTTTATATATAAAAAAAACAAAACAAAAAGAAAAGTACACTGGTCAATATCACCAACAATCCCATCTACACACGCGCGTTTCTAATTTGCAACGTACACCTATTATTTGAATACATTTATTAAACTAATTTTAAATACATTCAGATTATTAAATCAAAATAAAATAAGAAATTCATTAACTGTAAGATATTGCTCATATGATCAGTTTTTTTTCTTTTGTTTTATTTCCTCTTCATCGGCCACTATTCTATAATTAAATATTGTACTCAATCTGGCTGACCAAAGAGTGTGTTATTACATTTTGCGTTCTTGTTTTTGGCTTAATCTCGACGCAAAATGTAACAACGCAAAATGTAATAATCCAATAATCGTGTTATTACATATTGCGTTATTACATATTGCGTTGATCTCGCCGCAAAATTTCGCGTTGTAACACTGGTATTTGATTTGAGGTCACTCATTGACAAGCAAGCAAACACAATAGCACTCTTTTACATAAGTAAACATTTGTCAACTTTTACATGTTGTTGCACATGATAAGTATTGGGTTACAACTAACAATAGTTATACGCCCGTCTTAAGACGGGACGTATTATGTTATAGGCTTCGTGTCCATCCGTCTGTCCGTCTGTCTGTTAGCTTTTTTGTTTCCGGCTCATAACTTAATACTATTAGGCCTAGGATTATCAAATTTTGTCTTTTAATGCATCTTGGGTAGAAGGTGTGTCGCGCACAAAAAGTAGGTCGCTCTGACCTTTTATTAGAGGTTATAGCCAAATATGGAAAATTCCTTTCCAGTCCATAACTAGAAAACTATAAGACTTACAATCATCAAACTTGACCAGTTTATGCATCTTAGGTAGAAGGTGTGTCACGACCTATTTCAAGGTCACTGTGACCTTTGATTTAAATGAAATTAAAAAAAAAGTTTTTACCGTTCATTTACACATCCCAAATAATGTAAGAGTATTGCACTGTCCTTATAAAAGAAGTGTTAAATCAAGAAAATACTTATTTTTTTAAGCATATACTTGACAGCAATCTATAACAAATATTATGTATGTTAGAGAAATCCTACCTCTCCCATGAGTGTAATTATCAAGCATTGGTCAAGACTCAAGAAGAATTTTGATAACAGAAAATTGCATGTCAAATTAGAGAGAAATTAATGAGTTTTGAGTGTGAGGAACTCGCTGATAGCTAGAGCATGGTGTTCTATATCCCTTGAGTATTGGGCACATGGGTGAGCCTGTTGGATTAAAAATTGCTCTTGTTGGCCATCACAGTTGGCTAGCCTAAGTTTTAAAATGAATTTGATGAAAAGTAATTAAAACTAATTTGATATTGCATAGTAGACTAATCTTATATTATATAAAATTGTTAATTTATAAAAACTAATTTTATGGGATGGGGTGGAATCAGCATGTTCATATGAATTTTATATTAAAACCTGTCAGACATTAAATCTCAACCAAAAAAAAAAAATCTTTGAGTATTTTATATGTTTTAAAAAAATTTATGGTAGATAGTGCAGACCCATTCATCTATTGGTATTAATTAGTAGACAAGCATCCAGTTAAAGATTATTCAATTTATAGCATTGTACTTTGTTCTTTGATATTGTTTAATATGATGGGCATTTGTCTAACGCAAGCAGCATAGAAATCTATTAATGATGTAATATTTATTATGATTAATGCCTATATCACAGGGAATGGATAAATATTTGAAGGAACGGAAAAATCATGGAAATCTTAGAATCAAGGTTGACGTGATTTTCTTGCACACTAAACTGTTAAAGAAAATTGTATTTTTTTGACTGGCGTATCATGCTGTGGCGCGGCACTTTATTTAATTCATATTTTGGCAAAACTTTCTTGATCAATCCCCTACAGTGCGACTGTGTACAAAAGTACAGCAACCCTACAACATAACGTAATTGTGCATTCAAGTTTACATGTACTTCTGGGAATGCACACACACACAAAAAAATATTTAGAAATTCGTTAGCATACAATAAATTTAAGCGTTTGGTGGCTTTTGTGCCAATGGCTCTAAAATTAGTAGTGCACCATATATTCTAGTTTTACAGCATATAAATATTTTAGCTCATCTTATAATCGCATCAATGAAGATAAGTGTATACTCTGATAATAAATTAAGAAAAACTCTTTTTGCAGAGAAGATGTGGAAAACCTTATATTGCAATCTTAATCCACATGAAAGGGAAAAAGTAGGTTTAAAGGAAATAACCAAGGGAGACAGTGTGACTAAACATCTGCCTGAAACAGGACCATGGTCTGTTTCCGAAATGCTTAAGCCCTTGGATAAATCTAGAAGAGGTAATATTATATTTAGTGACATTATTCTAACTTTGACTGAAGGTTGCACAACAGTATTAAATTCTGCTGTATATTCTTTCCAAAAGTGTGCAACTTTGAGTAGATGGTATTTATTGAAATGAAGGATATGGAGAAACGGACAGTATTCATTATCAAAGTCCATAAAACAATACAAAATAGGTGTAGACCAAATATGGACCTACAAAACATTAGAGGTGGGATCAGGTGCTATGGAGGAGTAAGCATCCCCTGCCGACTGGTAACACCAAAACTGCGTGCTCCTTGTCTAGTCATGATCGTGAAATAATGGAAAAATCTGTTGGCAATTCAGTGTAAAAAATTTGAGTAATAACAATTTGAAAACAAACTTCTGAGAAGTTTCGTGTCCTTCGGATGAGACCTTAAAACTGAGGCTCCGTGTCAGCGGCAGGCGTTGGCACAATAAATATCCCTCACTGTTCAATGGCCCTGAGTGCCGAGTAAAGGTCTAAATTTAAAGCCCTTCACCGGCATACGGTGACGTCTCCATATGAGTGAAAAATTCTCGAAAGGGACGTAAAACAATAATTATACAATCAATCTGAGAAGTTTCCTTTTCAGATCTTTAAAACAATTATAAAGATTTAGGTATCGAAAACTTTATAGCCATCAAGCAAGGCAAGGCACACAAGTTTGTCGAAGTTGAGCAGGTGCTTGAAAATCACTCCCCACTCAAATATAGTATATAGTATAGAAAAATCAACACGCCCTAAATTATAATGATTCTGGTCAATACAGGAAGTTTATATATTGTTTTTCATCTCATAGAATAATTCAGCTCCAGTCTAGTGTCAAAATATACCAATGGGAAGGGGAAATTTAAGAATTATTTTGCAGAGCTCCAGATAAGGTGCGTATTTTGCAGAAATACGCATTGATTTTCACAAAATACGCATTGAAAATTAAAACGGTGTACAATTACGCATTAGCAATCGTAGATCTATAAGCATTACACCACGAAAGTACTGCATACAACAGATCGAACAATACAGGTACAACTTATTTAATGATATGAATTGAGGTTAACTCAGTGTTTGATTTTTCTCAAAAGGAAGTACAGATTTAAAAGACTTTCAATGATCAGGAATATTCTAGTAATGGTGACGACGATCTCCATTACAGGAGGAAAAATCAGAGATTTAGATTAATATCAATTTCTATAAATAGAAAGACTTTGCACTAGGCATAACATTTATATTGACTTAACGAAAATTCTTTTATCTCGGTTTAATCTTGATACTACATCTTAAAGTTAAATGAAAGAAGAGTTTTCTGTGTCTCTGACTCATGGTAGCTGCAGAACTGTGGCTCTCTGCTTGAGAAAATCCAGACAGATAAAGCAGAGAGCTACAGATCCAAGCATTGTAAAAACCTTTGATTTATGCCGCCGATTTTTTGTCGCTACTTTAGATATTATTTTTTGTAGGTTAATTTTCCTCTGGCTTTTCGAATGGTATCTTATAATTAAACATATATCTAACTCTTATTTTCGATACTTTAATTACCTATTAATGATCCGAAACAGTCCTGTATATAGTTTTGATATGTCGGTTTAAAAAGAGTCCAATTTTGAGGCCCATAACCAAAAACAGCCTTTTGTTAGCGTTGAAACACGTGAATTGTGAGTAAATTATGAGGAATTGGAGTTATATGTATGAGGTATGATTGATCATTAAATACTATTTCTAAAGCTGGGGAAAGTATAAAATAAAAGAGATAACACCTGAAGTTAGCGAAAAAAAATCGGCGGAGTAAATGGAAAGTTTTTACAACGCTTTATCTGTTCAGCAGCTAACTCTATGGTACCTTGACCTACTGCTAAATCTGCCTTGTAAAAAGAATGCTTCATAAATTTTAACAAAAAGTCTTGTTGGTATTTACAAAATTTATTTAAATAAATTTATGAACTGACCTTTGTAGTTTTTCCCTCTTCAAAAACACATATATTTCGATTACAAGCTCAAATCAAAACAAAGGTCAAAACATTAATTTATTTTTAAACAAAATACATATCTGTACTCTTCAATCATTTTGCCGAAAATCAAAATCTGCATTGATTTCAAAATCAGGGAGTAAATACACTTTGGGGTAAAAAATTATCTGGAGCTCGCATTTTGCATCAGCCATGATTTGACCTGAATCTCAAGTCAGGCTTGGGGTCAATTACTTTGAAATGTAATTAATGACTTTCAAATGCATTGATAATTTTGTCAATTACTTGCAATTACAATTACATTGATTTTTTTCAAATATAATTAATTACTTTCAATTACTTTGACAAATGTAATTAAATACATTTTAATTACTTCGAGTTTTATTTTAATAAAAAAAAAATAAAGATTTTTTTTAAATAAAATTTTTTCTATAGCGATCGAATTCGAACTTTCATTCAGTGTTTTTGTTCTTGGGTATGATGGGGGTTCACACCTGGTCAAAATTAGACCTTTACCTTATAATGAGTGTGACACACTGTATAAACAAATAAAACATTATGAGACAATTAATTATTGTACAAACACAAGCCCATGCTACATCAGTATGGTGTATGGCAAAATCTTTTATGTTACTTTTTCAAATCCATATTTTTGAAGGAAATAAATAATATCTATCACAATTCCATTCATTATTTTCTATCTTAAAATGAACAGAATAGAGGTAAATCTAAAAGGGGATGTAGTTAGTCTAATTGCTGTAAAACAAATTAACTATCTAAACAATCATTGTTATTTGCAAGTGGGAATAGGGAGAACTGGGATTTATAAAACATGGGAATAAGTAATATACCCACCAGTATAAAACTATGTATCAGTGTAAGACACCTTTTTAAATATAAACTTTCATTTTGAAAAAAAGTAATTGAAAAGTAATTGAAAATACATGATCTTTTTTGAAATGTATTTAAATACATTCAATTACTTGTAATTGAAGGCTCGCTCAAATACAAAATACTTCCAATTACTTTGAAAAATGTAATTAACTAGAGCCGAGCTCGTTGCAAAGCAACGAGTAGGTCTTCCGTTGGAGCTGTGGACAGGAAGTACAGACCTTGGGTCAAGGTTACTGCACTTTCTAATGTGAACAACCTTTCTTCTCAGTATGAGCGTCCAGTGAATCTTAATTACAAAGTTATACTTAAACATTTTTTTCTCTGTCAGTGACCTTGATTTGCCAGAAAGTCCTTTGATCAGGGTCTGACACAACCTCCAATCATAAGTAATCTATGTTTCAAGAGCCTCCAATGATTTTCACTTACTAGTTCATAGCGTGGAAAAGAAAAGATTTCTTCTGTCAGTGACCTTGATTTTAACAGAATAACCTTGGCTCTTTGTCAAGACAAACCCTCAATCTGAAACAACTTTTAGAAATCCATAACCCTGACAGGAGTTTTACAATTTTTCTGTCATTGGCCCTAAATTTGTTAAAATGACCATATTTTAAGTCATCTGAAAACCAGCGGACTATAAGCAATTTGTATCAAGTATGGACTTAAACAAATATAGTCAGAATGAAAAAAAAACTGTTTTCTGAGTCAAAATCGTAAAAAAAAAAACCTTTTTGTCACAAGCAATCTCTGTATCAAGTATGAGCTTACAGATATTTTCGATTACATATAAATGAATGCAACAAAACATTAATTCTTTCTCCAGTGACCTTGAATTTGCCGTACTATTGCCTTGAATAAATACAATGACACATCCTAGGATCACTTGAAATCTTTTTATCGAGTACAAGCTTCTGGTTTCTTTATGTTATAGCCTGACCTTCTGGGAAAGACTTGAAAGGGCAGACAGACATATGGACAGTTAAACAGGCCGTTTAATTCCAATTCCATCCACACTACCCCCCCCCCCCCAAAAAAAAAATGATAATACACAAACACTTTGCAAGGGAAAACTCTAGTCATGATCTGAAAAAAGTAATCTTTTTTATATCAGGAAGCTTTCATAAATATGGTTTCTCATTCTTGCCCTGAAGTTCGTAAGAATAATACTTAATAAAACGACCCCTTCTTATTTTTTACTAACCGTTTTCTTCATTGTTTTCATTTTATATCTCCCAAGGCCGCCCGCATAGCGCAGTGATTAGAGCGTCTGTTCTATGGTAGCGAAGTAAGGAGTTGATCCTTACGTCGTGGTTCGAATCCCACTGTGGGACGTGGGGACCTGTCCTTCCGATGAGACCGTATAAAACAAGGTCCTGTGTCGCTTTAGGTGCTGGCACAAAAAAGATCCCTTCCTGCTCAAAGGCCCTAAGTGCCGATTATGAGACAATTAATGTTTAACTATGGTGCTGGTTATGATTTTAACAGTTTAAATTAGGTCATAAAAGTGTGTAATTACATGATAAGTTTGTGATATTCAGTAGCTGCAGATTGTTGTACATGTATACACGTTCTTAAATTTTCGATTCCGTACATTACTACATACGATGCCGGTTTAATACTACTTACATGTACATTGTATAACCTGCTACTGATATTTTTAAAATCACGGAACAAAATTAAAATGTTAGCACACTATACTAATCATTTAAAGGTTTTGAATAAATGATAAAACAAATAAAATTCATTGCTTTAAAATCTTGAATTTTTTTTTCAACTTGACTATTCAACGTGTAATATAAATAGGCATTGTGCAGCACAGAAGTCACTTATGAAGTTTAAACGTGCCGGAGATATTTATCGATGTTTAGTCCATTTCATTGAGTAAAATTCTGAATAGATCCTTATGATTCGGAAGATTTTCTTTAAAATTTAAAACTGAAATAGCCATGGTAAAAATCTGTGATGAACAAAAATGTGTTTGGGAAAATTTGTGTTGAAAACGGATTTATTTGTGTGTTAAAAACGCAAATTAAGCTGGTGCATTTAAATCAATATTGGTTGAAGTAAAGTAACCGCAGATTGCCAGTCCTTACGCTATGAATCGTCAAAACGAAAGTAAAATTGCACATTTAGCTAACGTACTATAAAAATTGAAGACTGATTAATGTACATGTAAAATAAATACCCCAGCGTTTAGTTCTAAAGTCAAACCTAAGATATTTTAAAATATTTTTGAAAGATTCGATTTACTTACAGAAAATAATGTTTTCCGTAAGTTTGTAAAATAAGATTTAACATTCGACCACGCTGTGTAAATTAATGTCAACAAGCGATGGAAAGAATGGTTGGTCGCGTAATTGTAAACAAACACAAAACCAAGATAGCTGTTTCAGATAAACATGTATCACGATCAAATTTAAACGAAGATAAGCCAACATATTATATTATATGAACATATTAATCTCAAATATCCGACAATAATAATTTTCCATTAATTGTGAAATGGTTTTAATACACAATCATTTTGCCTATGACTGCGGGGTTAAAGGTTCGCCGCGGCGTGTCGCTTTAGATTTTCTTGGACGCGTGTAATCGCTAGATTACGCAATGGTCAACACACTTAAAATCTGAATTCCAGGTGAATGTGAGAATAGCGCAGTCAATAATTTTTGTATTATTTGACTCTTTGAAAGTTCTTTTAATGAGATCCGGGCGTGTATGGTTTTCGTTCATATTGTTTGTGTTCTAACGAAGAAAAGATACTCGTGCTTTTTTCTAAACCTCTTTCTCTTGGAAAGATCTTGATTAATAAAGGAAAATGATGCCATTGAATACTCTGAACGGGAACCAAAGAACACGTTTAGAACCTAATTAAATAAGAGATATGATACAGCATTGTAAAATATTTATTACTTACGGCAAGTTTACTTCAATTCTGCGCATAAAGACTACAGAGTTTTCCTTCAAGACAAGAACTGTCTAGCTTTCTTTCCTATAATACGTAAGACTCAAACAAAATAATATTTTCATAGGACAGAGATAGTATTAAGATACAATTTTATATATTAAAAAAATGAATTTAACCATTCTGTGTTTTTATTTGTGTATAGCTGTGGGTCGCTGGATTACCTGCCGATTGGTTCCCAGTGACCGACTTTGCCCCGCGCTATCGAGGGAGGCGTGTCAAACAAGGTGAATGTAATCGGAAAAACGCTACCTGTTTACCTTGCCTGCTTATGCAATATTCCCGGCATAATCGAACAAAACAGCATTTTCATCAGATCAAAAAGGTGTAAAAGAACAATTTTGTTCGTAAGATCTAGATCGAAATATTTACCGTTTTTGAGTTATAAAGCAAAAACTTTCAAGTTTCATAGAGCCCTAATTATAGGGGCCAGCCCCTTTTGAATATTATTAGATGAAAGCCCTTGCAATTATGCACAACTTTTGTTCATTATGTCTTAACAAAATATTTTTAGTTTTCAAGATAAAAAGGAAAATATGTGTAAATTTTCGTTCTTTTAGGCGTTCTAATTTTTGACCCCTATATGGCGCCATTGTTAATACAGAAATCGAAAAACAAAAACCGATGTGCACAACTTCAATCCTTCTGTTACCTAAAATCATTAAAAATTCTGCTTCAGCTTTTGTGGTCTCTGAGCCTTTATCCGGAAACGAAAGCCTATAAATTTTCGTTTAAAGGGAAATAACTCAAAACCGGAAGTGACTTTTTGAAATTTTAGTCAGCATTCTGGTAGAGTTTATAAACGTCTATAACGTCTGAAAATTTGAGCGAAATCCGTTGAGAAATGAGTGAGATATGAAGCCTCAAAGTTGCGGTCTAGGAAGTAGAAGAAAAAAAAAGAATAATAATCTTTACCATCAGAATCAGTAGAAGGTCTTCCGTTGGAAACGGAAGACCTTAATTACACTCAGTTACAATTACTTTATTCAATTACCCCATCCCTGTCTCAAGTGTTGTGACATGAGTTTTATTGTTTGATTGCATTTTGTTGCTATTTGATACCAATGCATTATGTGAAATCTTGATAAATTAGATATTCATACAATTTTACTACTTTTCAATTAAGATATCTAAGTTTACTAAATGGGACAAAAACACAAGGAAAAGCTTAACTAAAAATCACGAGGTTGATTTGCAATTGTGTGAACTAACCAGATTTAGTTTATTTCAGAACGCCTTAATTACATTGCAAAGAAGATGTTTACTGATGTTGTGTGTCTATATTTTGACTATGTTGATGAGGAGTCACAGCTGTCACCTATTAAGGTAGCATATGACATAACATTTGTTGCACGGAGCCGTGATCATGATTTTGTGATCATGGAACTCGCAAAAGACAGTCATTGTCCATTTCCAGAAAAGATGTGGTTACAAAAGTATTATATCCGCAACCAAAGCCAAAAAATCATTTTAGTAGGGCATCCAAACGGGAATGTTGCAAAGTGTGATGAGTACAAGATTATCGATGAGGATGATTTTAAAGAATGGAAGTCAAACAACATAACTCATTTCAAGGAGCAAGATTTTAATGATGACGTCATAGACGAGTATGAGAGCCTTCAGTGCTCAGAAAAGAAAATATTTTTCCATGCTACATATAACATGGGAAAAGGCTGTTCTGGAGGGCCAATTCTTACTCATGATCTGAACCCAAAGGTTATTGGTTTTTACCAAAGTGGGCTGCCTGTTGCTTTGTATAATAATTACAGATGCGAAGATGCTGAGAAAATCAAGGAAAATAAGCCAGATGCATTCATTGAAATGGGATTATCAACGGAAGTTATTGCAGAGGTTTTGAGTACTGATGAAAAATTCTCATACCTATTGGAAGATATTTTTTGAATTGACATTTATCTGAAGAAAAATTTGAAAGTCTAGAGAACATGAGCATATGGTCATTTGTTGTGTATTATATGTATTTCTATATAACAAACTTCCAGATAAATGTGTTCAGTAAGTATAGAATTTGGTGAAGAAAGACAAATCTATGTGCAACGAAAGACATGTACAATTGCCATTCAAAGCCCTGTTTGCCCTTCAATATTCTAGTACTTGTTTCATTTCTGTTTATGGAAGTCTGTTTCACTCTTTCTGTACAATATTATATTTCTCCCTTTTTTCTGATTATCTGTCTTGTAGCATAAATGTAGATCTGTCATAATGTGCTTGTTTTTACTTAATTAATTTATTCTGTATAGGAATATTCCATTGCTGATATGTATCATACTTTATTACACTTATACATGTATTCTGACATTATCATGCACATACTTTAAAAAGTCGAATGTATATGGATAAGCATAAAATTCACTAGTTTTTCCATTATCATTTTCCTTTTATGATATATAACAAACAATATCGGTGCATTGATAAAGAATGTTACAATGTAAGTAATTGGATGAAATTGGTACCGATGTATTTATGTGTTCAACTTAGTCTTTGATGATGTCACAGAAAATGCTTGTAAATTATGACGGTATGAAAGATACCAATATGCCAAAATCTGCTTATAGTTAATGTTGAAAGATGGTTAAAACACATGAAGATTTCATTTAAAGTGTGTTTATAGATGTGGTTATGTGGTTACACTTAAAGTGATAATAATTTCTGTATAACCTTGGAGAGGTTTTTAAAGTTATTAAAGGTGTAAAAGGTATAACTTTTACCTGTTTTGTTTCTGGACTTTTCTTAAGTCAGGGGTCTAGAATTACGCTTTCCCGTTGCCCGGGGTGAGTAAAAATTCGTACGGGAAAGTACGATCGCGGGTCATGCTCACCCGCTCGGGAAAGTAAAAATAAATGACAGTAGACACTTATGTTGTTGAAAGTTGTTCTTTTCACAAGTTTTGATTGAAAATTGATTTGAATTTACTTAGCTAGTAAGTTGTGTGAATCGGTATGAAGCGTTTCCCGTCAAATTCATGTACATTATCACTACCGGAAATACTTGTTTGCTGTATAAATGAAAAACCGAAAACGGTACACTTTCTATTTCCCGGAATTAATACGAACGTGATTTGAGGGATATACCTCTTGAAATTTTAATGATTAAGGTTAGAATGAACGAAATAAATGTTTTAATCCACTGAACAATAATTTTTACTTTGAAAATACAATTCAATATAGCATACAGTGTATTTAATATATCTATATCAAAAATACAATGCAATATAGCATATTTATATTTGTAGTATATCAGAGACATAAATAGCATAAATAATTTAATTTGAGGAAAATATTCACATATTTGAACCATGTTGAAAATGCTAGCCTGTAAATGCCAGAATATATAAACATAACATCAATAAATCTTAAAACTTGATTGTTTCATGTTTTTGTTGGGCAAGTGAATTTTTAGGCGGGCAAGTGAAATTTATTGTATCACTTGCCCTTGGGCAAGTGAGTTATAAAAAAAATTCTAGACCCCTGTAAGTTATTGAAGTTTTGTATTAATTGAATCACTCTGCTGCCATAAACTTTTGCATGTTTTGGGGGAAATATTTAGAATGCATTGCAATACGAAAAACATTGATAGTTGATTTTTCTAGATCTATGTTATATTCATTCTTATTTTGAGTGTGGTATGTGGAGTTATGATATAATTTTTTTTTATCTCGTTCTATTTCATGTTTCCTTATCTTTTAGCATAGAATTATTTTTTAACATTGTTTTGCTTTCAAGAACAAGGTTCACTTTTGCCTTATTTGGCCCTTGAATTTCTGAAAAACTGAAACAACATAGTTTTGGTTAACAATGCATTGAATAATCCCTTAGATATTTGGTGATTGCGTATCTATCAAAAATGACGTAATTTTCTGGCTAGTCAATGCATTATGACGTCACGAAATGCGTCAGTTTCCACATATTCTGAAAAAGTCTATAAAATCGGCCAAATTTTAAAGCTATTTTTCGATATTTAATATAGAGCGCAACCTCTGATCTAAAAATGCAACTAGTAAATGATAGAACTGTGTCTGAGGTTTAAAAGACATGTTTTATTTTTTAGACCAGAGGGTGCGCTTATTTTATTTTTCTTCACTAAAAGTACACAATTATACCTGTTTACCTAACAATTCAAGAACATTGCAATTTCATTTAATTTTACCTTATAGAATGAAAAATAATTCTATCTGACTGAACCAGTTTAAGTTTTTCGGTTATCTCTGAAAAATTATCCATTTTACATTAGTTTTATGTTTCCATCAGTTGTAGAACTATTCATATGAATGAATTTTATGTACTGATTTGAATGACTTGAAAATAAACCTTTTTTAGATGGAATGGTGTTTTATTAAGGTCTTCCGTTTCCAATGGAAGATCTTCTACTGATTCTGTTGGTAAAGATTATTATTCTTTTTTTTCTTCTGCTTCCTAGACCGCAACTTTGAGGCCTCATATCTCACTCATTTCTCAACGGATTTCGCTCAAATTTTCAGAGGTTATGGACGTTTATAAACTCTATCAGAATGCTGACTAAAATTTCAAAAAGTCACTTCCGGTTTTGAGTTATTTCCCTTTAAACGAAAATTTATAGGCTTTTGTTTCCAGACAAAGGCTCAGAGACGGCTAAAGCTGGAGCAGAAATTCTACTGATTTTAGATAATAGAAGGATTGAAGTTGTGCACATCGGTTTTTGTTTTTCGATTTCTCTGTTCAAAATGGCGCTATATAGGGGTCAAAAATTAGAACGCTTAAAAGAACCAAAAATTACTCATATTTTGCTTTTTATCTTCTAAACTAAAAATATTTTGTTAAATTATATAGAACATCATTTGTGCAGAATTAGAAGATCTTTCAAATGATATGTTGGAAAAAGGGCTGACCCCTAAATTAAGGGATCTAGAGGGGCCAAATTTTTTTTCCAGATATCTCAAAAAGTATTGAGAATTTGTTATACATCAAAGAAGCAAAGTTGTTGAAAATGTCAAGCTTAATCTAATAGTGTCGTCAAAATACGTCCAGCGTCGTCACTTCCGGCCAAACCGGAAGTAGTCGGAAAACGCGTATTTTTGCCGTTTTGGACAAGTTTTTGGGTAACATATGTCTCTGGGAGCTTAAAAATTAATTTTCCGTGCGTCGTCGTCACTTCCGGTTAAACCGGAAGTAGCAAAAATGGATTTTTTTGCATTAATTAACATAGCTTTAGAGGATTCAAAGCATTTTTTGGGCGTTATTTCTCATTTTTGTTAAAAAATGTAAGCTACTTCCGGTCAAACAGGACGGAAGACCTACTCGTTGCTTTGCAACGAGCTTTGCTCTAGTTTGATTTCAACTTATTGCTTTCTTAACTGACACTGACAAGCTGAATGAACAAATGGAAATGATAAACAGTATTCAAGCTCAAAGTCCATAATTTCTGCGTTTCATTTAAGAATTTTCCCACCGATACTGTTAAAATACCGAGAAACGTTTTTCCTGCTTAGTAAACCAGTTTGACCCCTCTGTCAGATTCTTCATAAACTCGATATCTTCAATGGACAGGTATATATAGCAGGATTTTTTGGTGAATGTAAAATTTGATGTTTGCCTGATCAAGGCAAGTCAATGACTTTGGCGAAATTTAACTCGCAAAACACAGGGTTTCCACTCTATGCAAATTAACACTAGTAAATATACTGAATATTTTAGTGATTGAACATTTAGAGGGCTAGACTATCGAAACGGAAAATTAAGAAAAAAATAGCGCCCCGCTGAACTAACCCGCTAATTATAGCATGTGTTAGGCAAGTCTATATTAATTCTATAAAATAACTAGGAAAAAAGTTGGATTTTTTTAGACATTGTTTCTGGTACTTTCGTTATACATAGTAGACCTGCTTTAAATCCACAAAACAAGAACTCTTTCCTTTCTTATATGACTTAGATGTCACTTAACATATTGTTTTCTATCCCCTAGGTTGAAATTACTTTCATGTCTGTTTAGAAGAAACACTTTAGAATCTCCTACTGTAGCTCTTGTGTATCATGGCCAGCTCTTACAGAGCTCATACCGGTATTTTAAATCCCTCGAAAGCTGCTTAACTTATCGATGTTCACCCATGCATCCGCAAATGTCCATGTATGGTATATCGTGTGAAATATGAATGCCTGTTTATAAAATCACCAAAATTATTTTTTTTTCAATTTGGTCAAACATGAAGGTTAAAGGATCAAATTGAGGTCCAGGGGCCAAATCGTTCACTTGAGCAACTAGCTAGGTAAAAGCGAAAATTCGTAGTATTCAGTATCAAAATTTATAAGGAAAGATAACATTTTTGAAAAGTAGGTCAAACTTCAAGGTCACAGGATCAAATGTCATAGTATACATGCTTTTAGAAAGACGCTATCGTAGGTAACACGCATTTATAACATGAAAGCCATATCTTTTCTTTAAAAAGTTGTGACCAATTGAGAGTAATGTTAAATTCTTTTTAAAAAGAGGTAAGACTGCAACGTCACGGTTTGAAAATTTATTGTACAGTTCTAGTCACAAATATTGTACATGTATATGTATGTGAAATATGAGAGCTGTATCTGTTCTTGGTCAAATGTTAGGGCCAAGGCGTCAAGTTTTTTGACAGATTGACAGACAAGATTTAAGGTTCCCTTGTTTTCGATATTTTCTTTCTTCCTCATCCTCTGTGCGTTTGCCTCCACAGAACTGTGAACAGCAGCAACCAAGAACTCCTATGCATATAAAAACCGTAATAGAAATTACTCCAATTTCTATATACTTGAACCAAACCGGGATCAGAAATAGTCTTTTCGAGATGTTCTTTCCGAGTTGAAAATTGAGTGATTCTCCATCTGAGTTGTAGACATGTTTGACTTCGTAATGACTGATCGTCTTTTTGTGGAAATCAGAACACTGGGGCTCGTCTTTGTCATGAATGGATCAGATTTAGAATCTCGTTGAGAGAAATGAGTGTCTACAAAGAAAAACAAAATTAAATACTAGTAAATGATCTTTTTTTTTATTTGCTCGCAAACGTAAACATTAAGACTGCTGATTTGACACTGCAACAGATGCTATCAGCATGAAGAAAGGCTGTTTGCATAAACTCTAGAACATAGTTTAAAGCTGAAATTAACTTCTTTTTTCAAATGCTATTAGTGAATGCAAAACCAAATGAGCAGAATTGCTTTGATGAAACTTTTCAAAGCTAGTTATTTATAGATTCTGTTTTTTTCAATGTGAACATTTCAAAAGGACTATGCACACTGTTGCATTGCATTGCAAAAAAAATCCAGAAACGAATCAATTCTAACAGTACTACTGAAAAGTATATTTTCATATGAACATTTCCAAAAGATCACGACGCACATGCATTTTAACATTGCACTGTGGAAAATTTCAAAACTTCTCAGTTTTAGTTTCTGAAAATTATTTTGATGCCCCCATAATCGAAGTTTCGGGGAGGGGTATTTAGATTTTATCCTGTCTGTCCATCTAGCTGTTTGTTTATCTGTAAAATTTCTCCAAATAAAACTTAAATCTTGGTCATATATTTTAAGTGGATGATGCTTTGCTTTTCATATTTAACATTACTTGTAACACCAAATTTGAACTCGTGACTTTGTCTTTGGAGTTTGAACCACTTTGAACAAACCTCTCCGAACTTTAACCATTGTCATAACTTCTGAAAAGCTGGCGCTAGCTAGGGTTTTCATACCTTACATGTACTTGTGTATTTACAATCACATGATCTTTAAATAAGTAAAAAATATTTCACCATTTAACCTTGACCTTATAGTTAGGGTCTTCCGTTTCCAACGGAAGACCTGCTACTGATTCTGTTGGTAAAGATTATTATTCTTTTTTTTTTAAGGTCTTCCGTTTCCAACGGAAGACCTTCTACTGATTCTGATGGTAAAGATTATTAGGGTCTTCCGCTTCCTTCGGAAGACCCTACTGTTATTCTACTGTTTCTTATTATTATTTTATTTTTTTTTTCCCGCTCGATTTTTGACAGGCGATTTCTCAAAGACCTTTGGACTGATTTTTATGAAACTTTCAGGTTAGATACCTTGTAATTAAACCTATTTACACCTGTTTTCAATTTTTTGATGCATGCCTTTAATTGTGAGTTATTGCCCTTTAATTGATAATTTTGATGTCTCGTTTCCACTAAAAATCTCAAGAACGACGTAAGATATTTACACGAAAGTTGGAGAACTTGTAGCCAATACATTGTAGATGTGCAGAACGATAAAATTATAAGCTGATTTCCTTAAGTTTGGAAGCTGTAAAACGGCAAATTTTAGTAATTTTTTTTCCTTGAATTTTTGCTACTTTTTGTGTAATAACTTTTGAACCGAGAATAATTTGGTAAGAAATATATAACAAAAGTCGTGTGTAATTACAAGAGCTTTCATATTAGATTAATGAAAAGGGGCTGGCCCCTATAATTAGGGGTTAATAGCTCATACACGTTTTTTCTGATAGCTAAAAATATTGGTATATTATGAAAAAGTTTGACTGAAATAATTTCGAACTTATAAAATCTTGTCATTTGATATAAAAAGAAATAAACTTCCAGCTATATTTAATTGTTTTTTATACAAAACAAGTACATGTATGTGAGAAACCTTTCAGGAACAAGTTGTCTACTATAGCCAGCCAAGCCTTTACTGCATACATGTGCACATTTTTAGTTGATGCATCTAAAAGATATAGCACATTTTTTTGATGCATTAAAAGATATAGTGTTTCTCTGTTTTCTTTTTATTCAAATAATTTTAAAATGTGATGATGTACACAACAATAAATAGTACCTAGTTTAGAGGATTTTTTCGCGCTTGTTTGTAAACAACGCGCGGCATTGTGGGAAATAGGAAGGTACTAAAGACGCGATGTACTAAACACTTATTTGACCTGATTCAAATTTGTCTGTAAATGTTCCAAACAATTGAATTTTTGTATAGCATATGCCTCGAAGTCATAAAGTCTGTACATAAGTTATTTAAAATACTCAATATTACCATCTAATTAAAAATTAAAACGTCAGGTACATATCAGGTCTCTAGTATATCCTGTTTTTAGTGTGCCCCTTCGAGTCGACGTCGGACACATGTTTGTCATGGTTTACAAACTGAAAATAGAATGATTTGTGAAGTTGAACATTTTCTCACAAAGAATCCGTTTGTAGACATGCACACTCATTTAATCTGGAGCTACGAATACTTTTTCACTTCTCTGGAACATTATTCTAAGCAGAATTATCCCGATTCATATATTCTAAGAATCTTGTGTGAATTGTTTACGAGGAAATTCTGACTGTCACATTAACAAGGATGAACACTCTTGACTCTGCTTCGGATTCCCCAGTGATAATTGTATCGAGTGATGAAAGAGCTGACGGCGACATTTTAATGTATGATTGGCTTGGACCATTGGAATGAAGGTTAGAATATTTTTAATATGTTGACGGTGCGACCGTTAGAGCGAGCACAGACTCTTCTATTGTTTTGATTCAGATAGGGCTCGTCAAACCGCACGTGACTTTTGGTGCGTCTAGACTCTGACGTCACATGACGTCGTATGTAAGTTACAAATACCAAGAAAAACAGTGCTGAAAGTTAATGAAAAAAGTTACGTTTACAATTTATCTTCAAATATATATCCATTTAATCACGGCTAATAAATTTTTTGTTGAACATTTGCCATCATTCTCGCGAGAACGCAACTTTGCTAAGTGATGCATTGTGGGTCAAAACTACTGCAGCAAAAAATTCTAAAGAATGAATGTGCAGTAGTCCGAATTTTCTCTTCACCCAGGCGTTGTCGTTAGAGCTCGCAGTTACGAGCGTCGCTTCGCGACGCTCGCTGCGCTAGCTATTACTTAAAATTTACACTACTGATTACATGTCAGTGATGTACATTGATGTTATTAGAAATACACAGACACACCGATATATTATCTGTTTTACAGTTCAGACGCTCTCTGTTTGCCTTGTAAATCCCCACAGCTTTATATTTTATTTTTTTTAAATTTGAGGATGTAATTTCAACAGTCCTACTATCTATCATAGTGATCATACTCTATAATTCAAACTGCACTTAATGTTACAGAATATATTCAACTAATTATATATTGACAGTGTGACAGTAAGGGTGAGGGCAGATACTTATTTAGTTTTAATTTAGATTGTGCTTGTCAAGCCGCATTTGACATTTGGTGCATCCATGCTCAATGTTCACACTGAGAGTTTATTCAAATGTTTAATTCGAATGAATTCACTGCTCGTTAAATTACTTCCCATTAGCTCCATGTGAACATGAGTAAGGATAGCTAATTCAAATTATATAGAAATGAATTTTGAATGTAGCTTAAACATGTTAAAGAAGCTAAGCACTGTGTGTCCAAAGTATACTGCGGAAAAATTGTGTGGAGCAATGTGCAAGTCACAATCTTCTTTTGCCAAGGTGTTATCATAAGAGCTCGCATTATGGGCAGGGATTTGTGCTGCTGTCTGGACTCGCTATAAATAGATGTTCTCAAAAAGTCTTAATTATTTAATATCATACTTTACTGACAAAAAAGGACAAATATTGCTCAGTTAAATTGCAAAAGAAATTTGTTTAAAAAAATTGAAATAATAGAAAGTTTGCATTTTTGTTTGATAAGACTGCTGTAATGGTTTAATGTTTGTTTATTTGCCTTAATCATACATTTTTCAGTCATTTCATGGTGCCACCACTTGGGATGGTATTAGCTGCAAATATAGACTTGTACTCAGCACTTATTGCCTTTAAGAAGTATGAGATCCATTTTGTGCTAACACCTACCGTGACACAGAATCTTGGTTTATGCAGTCTCATAGGAGTAACCTGTCTAAAGCATTTAGCAATGGGATTGGAACCTGCGACGTAAGGTTCAGCTTCTTATTGATACTTTGATTTATAATATTTATTTGAGAATTTCACTCATTCACATACTTAGAGATGTTGATATATATTGTTGAATAGCATCAATTTAGACCTTTAATTAGCTAAGTAAACATGTACTGTGAGGTTTTTAAGGTCTCATTCATTTTATATGCCAGATGCATGTTAAGGAACATTACTGCATAAATGTTTTTGTCTTAAATTTGAAGCTTTTTACTAATATAGAGATATGTTAGTTTTAAACCTCTTCAAATTAGGGTAGACCTTTACTTTAAACTCAGCAATGTGAGTGTGTTGTGTGAACTTGTGTTAGCGAGACAGTGTGTTGTATGAATTTGTGTTAGCAAGGCAGTGTGTTTTGTGAACTTAATTGTGTTAGCCTGACAGTGGGTTGTGTGAATTCTTGTTAGCTTGACAATGTGTTGCGTAAACTCGTGTTAGCGGGACAGCGTGTTGTGTAAAATCGTGTATAAAGTGTAAGTGTGACAGTGTGTTGTGTAAACTCGTGTTAGCTAGACAGAGTGTTGATTGAACTCGTATTAGCGAGACTTCGTGTTGTGTAAACTGGTGTTAGTGAGACTGCGTGTTGTGTAAACTCGTGTTAGCGAGACTGCGTGTTGTGTAAACTCATGTTAGCCAGACAGCGTGTTGTGTGTATTCTTATTAATGAGTCAGCATGTTGTGTGAATTCGTGTTAGCGTGACAGTGTGTTGTGTGAACTTGTTATCCTGAAAATTTGTCGTGTGAACTGGTGTTAGAGAGATAGTGTGTTGTGTGAACTCGTGTTAGCAAGATTGCACATTGTGTGAACTCGTGTTAGCCAGACTGCGTGTTATGTGAACTCGTGTTAGCGATATTGCATGTTTTTTGAATTTGTGTTAGCGTGACAGTGTGTTGTGTGAACTCGTGTTAGCCTGACAGTGTGTTGTGTGAAATGGTATTAGGATGACAGTGTGTTGTGTGAAATGGTATTAGGATGACAGTGTGTTGTGTAAAAATGGTATTAGGATGACAGTGTGTTATCGCAACAGCATTTGGTGCGAACTTGTGTTAGTGAATAGTGGGACAGCCTGTTTTGAGAATTCGTGTTAGCGTGACAGTGTGTTGTGTGAACTCGTGTTAGCCTGACAGTGTGTTGTGTGAAATGGTATTAGAATGACAGTGTGTTGTGTGAAATGGTATTAGGATGACAGTGTGTTATCGCAACAGCATTTGGTGCGAACTTGTGTTAGTGAATAGTGAGACAGCCTGTTTTGTGACTTTGTGTTAGCGTGACAGTGTATTGTGTAAACTCGTGTTAGCGTGACAGTGTATTGTGTAAACGCGTGTTAGTGAGACTGCGTGTTGTGTAAACTCATGTTAGCGTGACAGTGTGTTGTGTGAATTCATCTAAGCGTGACAGTGTGTTGCGTGTACTTGTGTTAGCTAGACAGTGTGTTGTATGAATTCGTATTAGCGAGACTCCCTTGCAGAAAATATTCCTAACTTAGAAGTACATCTCAGGAATTCCCAAGACATCCCAAGAATTCTTGTGATATCCTGACATCAAGATTTAAGGAATTCCTGAGACTGAGAAATCCTGGGAAATCCTGACATATGAGATGAGGACTTCCTGGGATTCCCCAGGACTTTCAAGTTACATTATTCAAACCCAGCTCTTGTCAGGACATTTGATTGAGAGCCAGGAATTATATATTTTAACAAAATTCCCATATCCTAGGACTTTGATGAAAAACCAGGACTTAAAAAAATTACAAGTAAAACAACAAAATATGTATGTATATACTTAATAAATTTTATTACAGACTAAATGGTGTCATAAAAATGATTTCAACGGTGCATTCAATACATATAAGCACATTAAAAATTCACCACATACATGATAATAAAAAAGATGGTACAGAAAATTTCTTCCTTCAGTCCTTACAATTTTCAAGAATTTGTAAATAATCTTAGTCAAATTTAAAAACAGCATCAAATCATCCTGATGTAAAAAATGACTCACCATAGCAAGTTTTAAATCTGGCATACATGTAAGAACAACAAATTCTGGCTATGCGCTTACTCATTCGAGTATAGTTTTCACTGTAAATGACACAATTATTGCCTACAACTACTCTAAAAGATTTGTAAAGATCCCCTAAGTCACTGTCTGGTGAAATGCCAAGTGCAAGTTTGAGTTTTGAAGCTAGCGCTTTATGAAAAATATGAAAAACAGCATCAAATCATCCTGATGTAAAAAATGACTCACCATAGCAAGTTTTAAATCTGGCATACATGTAAGAACAACAAATCCTGGCTATGCGCTTACTCATTCGAGTATAGTTTTCACTGTAAATGACACTTGTAATTATTGCCTACAACTACTCTAAAAGATTTGTAAAGATCCCCTAAGTCACTGTCTGGTGAAATGCCAAGTGCAAGTTTGAGTTTTGAAGCTAGCGCTTTATGAAAAATATGAAAAACAGCATCAAATCATCCTGATGTAAAAAATGACTCACCATAGCAAGTTTTAAATCTGGCATACATGTAAGAACAACAAATCCTATGCTCTTACTCATTCGAGTATAGTTTTCACTGTAAATGACACAATTATTGCCTACAACTACTCTAAAAGATTTGTAAAGATCCCCTAAGTCACTGTCTGGTGAAATGCCAAGTGCAAGTTTGAGTTTTGAAGCTAGCGCTTTATGAAAAATATGAAAAACAGCATCAAATCATCCTGATGTAAAAAATGACTCACCATAGCAAGTTTTAAATCTGGCATACATGTAAGAACAACAAATCCTATGCGCTTACTCATTCGAGTATAGTTTTCACTGTAAATGACACAATTATTGCCTACAACTACTCTAAAAGATTTGTAAAGATCCCCTAAGTCACTGTCTGGTGAAATGCCAAGTGCAAGTTTGAGTTTTGAAGCTAGCGCTTTATGAAAAATATGCCTACGTGCAAGTCTGTGTTATTCACAAACCAATAATTCACACTAAACTGAAAAACATTCATTATATTTACATTTTACTTGTTTGGAGGCATCCAAAAAATAATCAATATTTGAATATCTCGCTGTCCTATATTATTGCATTTTACTAACATCGCTGCATTCTCATTGTGACGTCACGTTAACGCACGTTTCTCCGTGTATATTTCTACGCGTGAGTATACACGAAAATGTTTTTCAAATCAATTCCACAGTAAGCTTACTAGGAAAACACAGCTAATGTAAATATACTAAAATATTTGATGAGTTATACTTTATCATACAATATATGTAAGAAACACAAAATTCTACCATCTTGTTACTAGAGGGGGCATCTCAAAATGCCAAAACTTAACGAATGGTATGGTAATTTCAAAATGCCAAAACTTAACAAATGGTATGGTAATTTCAAAAGCATTGACCATATAAATTTGGCAGTCTTGCAAGACAAACATGATTTTTGTTTCCTTGCAAAAGAAGCAATTTTTCTAGAATTTTGTCAGTGGGTAGAATGTACTTTTCTTCAGATTGTTCTTCAAAAGGCCTTATCTTCATCATATGTGATACAGAGGGATGGAGCAATGAATTGTGCCCATCATTCAACTCTAACTTCCTAACTACAGCAAAGCATAACTTACTTGATGCATGCAGTAAAAAATGACTCACCATAGCAAGTTTTAAATCTGGCATACATGTAAGAACAACATATCCTATGCGCTTACTCATTCTAGTATAGTTTTCACTGTAAATGACACAATTATTGCCTACAACTACTCTAAAAGATTTGTAAAGATCCCCTAAGTCACTGTCTGGTGAAATGCCAAGTGCAAGTTTGAGTTTTAAAGCTGTTTCGTTGTCAACAGTTTCAGGGTGCAAATGTCCAGCGATTTTACAGTTCTTTGCTATAGACTTAATTTTCACTGGCCTTCCAGAACTCAACATTCTGCGGACATATTCTTTCCTTTGCGAATCTGATATAAACTGACTATCCACTGACAATCTCTTATTGGCTTGTACTGTCCACAGAATCTGCAAACAGACATTGCCTGTTCCATGAACAGATTCAAGTAGAGCGCCATTAAGATCTTCAAATGGGAAACAGGACCAACACCACAAAGGGCCAAGGTTTGATACATAATCTGCAAGATGCATTCCGACATTATGAACATTCAATGAACAGTTACTTTCACCATACAAAGTCGCAAATGTGTGATAAAACTCGTGCAAACATTGTCTAGCACGTTGCAAATCATGCCTGGTAATGTTATCCCCTAACAACAAGTAAATACCTTCTACTAAAAATGCCAAATGATCAATGTATGCTGATGACATGAACTCTATTATACATGGCAAAGAATAAAATAATAACCAAGTTTCGAGTTCTGAAGCTTTTAGATGTGAAATGTTATTGTCAAGCTTACGAGGCAATCTGGAAATATTATCTGTTGGTTGCATTCCTGTGAGGTACTTGTCAATTGTAGTTATATGGTCACCAATATAAAATGGTTCCTTTGAGTACTTTGATGTGAATAGCAATTGCAACATCTTCTTTGTCACACCCAAGAGTGCTCCATGCATATAGTCGGGAACGAGTCCATTGACTATATCAAAGTAGTCTAATCCATGCAAGGCTGAGACCCCCTTTATTCCTTTAATTCCTTTAGCTCTCTCATTTTTGTTGGTTGATTCCATGGCCTCAATCCCATTGTCCAGCAATCCTTCAAAATATATCAATTTCTTTTAAGAATTCTTGACATGCTTTTAAAACTCATTGTAAATTTTAGTTGCACTTATTTATAAAAGCCTTATAAATTTTAGGCTATCTAAATTTAATTCTCTGGTTCTCAGGCCAATTTTCTCCAAAACAGATGCGGGATGGCGGAATTTTATTTATCATTTTATTGGCAATAAAGTAGATGAGGGAGGTATTTTTTTAATTTTAATTTTCCAATTTTCTTCAACATAAAGATAATTTTTCATAATCACAGATATACTTTCCATGTCTGATCAAATTTCTGCTTTATCCATTGTTTATCAGTGTGTGAACATCGTAGATAAGGTCCTTGAATGTATTTTCAAACGAAGTAGCCAAAATCTCCATGCAAATAGCTACCGAAGTGATATTTGAATACTAATCTACTAAAAAAAATGAGGCGGAATTTTTTTTCCGAATTGGTCTCGGTAATACTTTTTATTTTATCAAAAATACGATAAAATTAGCAATGCGGCTACCTCAAAACGGATGCACGCGGGTATGAGAACCAGAGTTTCAATTTTATTTAGCCTTATGTTTATTGAATGCCAATTCTGCATGGTCAGAAAACAACTCTCAAATGGCTTTACTAAGTATATTAAAATTTTTATGATTATAAAAATTTTGACATAAGGCTTACCTGTGCTTGACCTCAATACAGGTGGAATCTCCCTAAATGGAAAGGCTCTGCAATGACCTTTACCTTGGGACACTACAACACCAGGTTCCTCGCAAGATATACATCCAAATTGTCCATTGTGCTGTGTCATGTGGGCTACAGCAGCTTTAGCCTGTAAATCTAAACTGCCAGCTAAAAGAAAAACTTTCACATCCAAAATAGTCTCATCGATTGTAACCTGAATCCCTTTTGTTTTTAAGGAAATGAGCTGCTGTATAAATGGCTGGAGGTAGGTTTGAAAATGTGGTTTTCCTTTTCCTTGCCAGACTCCCCAAAGAATAATATTTTGTCTGGAAAACCTCATAATAGGGGGAAGTTCATTAAGAACGAGGTAAACAGGCCATATACTCACTCCAGATGATCTATAAAGTGGCACTCCATCAGTGTTGAAAATAAGGCTCAAATTTTCTGTCTCAAACAATCTTTCTCCTTGATCTGAAAATGTTCTATACAATCTTCCATTTAGAATATCTGTCACTGCATCTGTTTTGGCAGTCTGTTTTTTGTAGTTCTTTATGCAAGACCATATTCCATCCTGTTGTAATATGTCTTTAATTTGCTTATCAATTGACAGGCAGGCAAAGAAACACTTTTTTTCCATGTTTTGTTGTTTATTTGAACTACCTTTATATCGAAGTCCGTCGCATCCATCCTGTATGCATTTATATAATTTTTTATCCTCTGGAAAAAGTGTAAAACACTTTTCACAGTAATCAATGATTGAAACATCACATGCACCAATAGTTTCCTTGATTTTTTCCACGGAAGTGTCCTTTGTTTCACTGATATTTAAAATGTTAAATAAATCCATCAAGTCTGATGTTGATTGACCACTCACGTGATGTTTCATCAGGTAAGAGAGAAGTGCCATGCTCTTTTCATGTTTTTCAGTGAAATGTGGTGGTATAAGACTCTTTTTCAAAATGTTGCATTTCTGATTTGAAGCCTCTTCATCTTTCTCTTCATCGTTACCATCTGAATCATCAAAACTATCATAGGCACACTCCTCAAAACTACTAGAATCATATTCACTTTCATCATCACTGTTGCTGTTTTCATCAATGTTAACATCAGCTTCGGCATATTCATCACCATCAATTTTGTCAACTTCAATGTTGTCATCAACTTCAATGTTGTCATCAACTTCAATGTTGTCATCAACTTCAATGTTGTCATCACCATCAATGTTGT